GGGACGGGGTTTTGTCGTGTTGGCCACAGTGGTCTCGAACTCCTGACCTCAGGTGATCCGCCTGCCTTGGGCCTCCCAAAGTGTTGGGATTACATGCGTGATTACCTGGACCTACTTCCCTTGTTCTGTGATATGAAAATTATCCTAAGCTTTAAGATTCCCAAGAAAACAACTGAAAGAATGGGGATGCGGGTAAGCTTTGCTAACCGTGGCCTTCCCCATCCGCCTCTTCCCCCAACTTTTCCCATAAAAGCAACCTCTACTAATATAACAAAGCATCTTTTACAAGTAGCTTCCTACAGGGATCCTATCTGTCCTTGAGTGCTTACCACAATCTGATTTCTGGACAGCTGACCCAAAGCTTGTTGATTTTACTGATCTTCAGAAAGCCACTGACTGGCTAAAGTCTTATTGGTGAACAGAGTCAAAAATCAGATGCCCCTGCCATGCTTTACAGAGTGAGGAGTTGGACAACACAGTTACGTTTGGCTGCACTGTGGTGAAACATAGGAGGTTATCTTCTTTTTGTCTTCAATCAGCCACATTTGGGCTGAGTAGTTCTATTACATCTTCAAAAAACTGAGCTCCAGTTCTTGATGGAGACAGAGGAAGGTCATTGAGGAGGTGGTTCAGCTCAAGAGCTAAGTGAAAAATGTCTTTTGATTCAGTCCTGCTTGTGGATAGAAGTCATCTTCGGGATGGAAGAGGGAGTGAGATGACCTAGAGTCTTGAATTGGTGGATCTGCAGGAACAGAAACTAAATACAGTGGAGACCTCTTAACTGAGTAACACCACGAGATGGATTTCCTGATAATGTGCCAATATAGGCCAAATATAAAGATTAAACATGTGCAATAAAAGTGATCATGCACGTGTTTTTCCAGATATCAAATGCATTTGTACCACTTTATGTATACATGTTTTCTTAATAACTGATTATAAAACAATGTAAAAAAATACCAATTTAAGAAAAGTAGACCCATTCAAACAAAGAGCCTATAATTTTGCTTACATGAATGGCATATCCTCACATTTAAAAAGTCAGTTCTTTCAAATGACTTTTTCTCCATATACAACTACAATCTGTCTACTCCACACAGTGTCAGTAGTAACATACATCGTATTTTAATTTGAGATGGATCTTTCAGGCTTTTTTCAAAACCTCCTAAAGAAATGGAATTCAAATTATACCTCAAGGTACTAATTTAGAATAGGCTTTTTTCAAAATCTCCTGGAGAAATGGAATTCAAATTATACCTCAAGGTACTAATTTAGAATAATCTACCCGCTTACAAATTCTAAGACTTGCATTAACCAAGTTTATTCCTACATATCAACCAAAAGAAGAGTATGTGTCATTAAGTCAGGCAATCTTTAAATGTGAGTAGTGGCCACCTCAAACTCTGATTTTAAAAAAACTTTAAAGGCCCACAACCAGATTACTGTGGATGTAATTTAAATTTTCTCCATATATTTATAAGAGTTTTGATGAACATTTTGATTATTTCTACTTAGAATTCAAATATGTAAATTTACTGTACACACACTCTCTCTCTCTCTTTTTTTTGAAATGGAGTCTCACTGTTTCACCCAGGCTGGAGTGCAATGGCATGATCTTGGCTCACTGCAACCTCTGACTCCCGGATTCAAGCAATTCTCCTGCCTCTGCCTCCCCAGTAGCTGACATTACAGGTGCCGGCTACCATGCCCAGCTAATTTTTGTATTTTAGTAGAGACAGGGTTTCACCATGTTGGTCAGGCTGGTCTTGAACTCCTGACCTCATGATCTTCCTGCCTCAGCCTCCCAAAGTGCTGGGATTACAGGCGAGAGCCACCACGCCTGGCCCGTATATACTGTCATAGTTATTAGACCAGGAATCAGCAAACTATGGCTGTTGGTCAAATGGAGCCTGCCACTGATTTTTGTAAATAAAGTTTTACTGGGACACAGCCATGTTTCTCCATTTATATATTGTCCATGGCTATTTTCATGCTGCAACAGCAGAAAAAGTAGTTATGACAAAGACCACAAAATCTAAAATATTTACAGCTGAGCTGGCCGTTTATAGAAAAAGGTTGCAAACCCCTGATATAGGCAATTATTAAAACATATGTAATACAATTACTTTAAATTGTTTTTAAATGAAACACAAATAACAGGTAGAATTAAAATTAGTTATAAGTAAATCATAACAAATTTACCACAAAAAGAAAAAAAAAATGTAAAGCAAGTCCCAAGAAGACACTTCATCTGGCTTTGATTCAGATGAATAATTTGATCTTTACATATAGAATATATATACATATATATATAAATGCTATAAAACTAACATTCAAGAATATACAGATACATGCTATGGAAATGTTCATTTAAAAATGGTTAATTTTTCATGTGAATTTCACCTCAATAATTTTTCTTTTTTGAGACAGAGTCTCACTCTGTCGCCCAGGCTGGAGTGCAATGGTGCACTCTTGGCTCACCGCAACCTCCGCCTCCTGGGTTCAAGCGATTCTCCTGCCTCAGCCTCCCGCGCAACTGGGATTACAAGCGCATGGCACCATGCCCAGCTAATATTTTTTTGTATTTGTAGTAGAGATGGGGTTTCACCATGTTGGTCAGGCTGGTCTTGAACTCCTGACCTCGTGATCCACCCGCCTCAGCCTCCCAAAGTGCTGGGATTACAGACATGAGCCACCGCGCCCGGCCAATAAATTTGTTTTAAATAAGAATATATGTAGTACTTTACAGGTTCTACCTTTAAGTGGGCCACATCATAGTATAGCGGTTAAATATTTAAGTTACGTCTTACCTAATAATGTGGTTTCTCCAAAATCTCTTAGATCATCTCAGACCCTTGTGTATATTTCTTCTTTGCCAGTAGATGGAGACAACACCACTGAAAGTTTAAAAGACATCATTCCCTGTTTAAAGGGAGCTTGCTGGTCTGAAAACTGGGGGAACCCTAACCCAAAGATCTCTTCATTTATTTTTTTAAAAGACAGAATGGCTATGCCAAAACCAGAAATAGAAGGTAATGTACCCAATATTAACTATAGATAGGCTCAAAAATTTACTGAAGAGTAACTAAACTCTGTCTGTGATGTGGTAACTATATCATATTAAAATACAATCTCTATAGCTTGTAAAGTTCAAACTACCTGCTCTGTGCTCCCATTAATGCTAGGTCATTTATTTTTCAGTTTCAGAAAGTGTAACTCAGAATATGTAAGAAAAAGAGTTCTCTGAATTCCACAGATGCAGTACATATATGTACTTTTTGAATTAGACATATATGCTGCCAGAAGCTTTTATTCAAAATAAGACTATTCAGATCCACATGAAATAATAAGAACTTTAAAAAGAGAGTTAAAACAGAAATGGTAGAAGTAGTAGAAAAAAAATTCAATTTTATGATCATACTGAAGAGAAATACTCATGAAAGAGATGAATCAAATTTACTTAAGTTTCTTATTTTACTACTAAAAATTACATAACCAGATGAAAAACCATCTGTAACAAATTTCAACTTCACACCTAGAAGTTTAAGAAGACACCTCAAAATCATTTACCTATGTCTTTCAATTAATAGCTTTCCTTTCCAAATTCAAAGACATTTTTTTTTCAAATGCAATAATGAAAAAAAAAAACCCAAGAAGCAAAAAAAAAAGAAAAACCCCAATGTTATCAAGCTAAAAAGAGAAAACGAAGATAGGACTATACTATTTAGATCTGCTACAAAGACTTCTGTCCTTAAAGTCCACTAAACAAGAACCACCAATTGGATAGAAAATGTCTCAAGAAAAATATTTGTCTTAAACCAAATAACAAGCTTTGAAAGGGAACAGAAAAGTCTTTAATTTTCAATTTTATGTATATTTTGCTTATCTCCTGAGTATCAGGACCAAAATCTGCTTACATAAAAGGTCAATTCAGTATTCAAGTATTTATTGCCATAGCTGCAATACCTACCCGACATTAAAACTAGACAACTTATTTTAGAAATCCTTTTACAACTCATTACTAGATAAAGTAGGTTAAACTAGCCATGAGCCACAAACTTCTTTTTAACTCTTAAATTTCATGATTTCTGTGAGACAACAACTATTATCTGCCAAGAAAACTATAACCACATTCTAACTGCCTATTAAAAGCACATAAACAACCAAACACCTTTTCATCATCCACATGGCAAATGCTGTGACTTCAAAGTTAAGCTTTAGGCTGGCTCCCTCTTGACAGAAAACAAACTTTTTGATCCCCAATCTTTGAACAACTATTATATAATGAAAATAATGCTAACTAAATAACAACCTCCAAAACAGAAAGATACTTTGCAATTTTCAAAGTGAACTCACTTATATTATTAATCTTATAATAATGGGAAAATCTTAAACATAAAGTAAAAACAATGGCCAGCACATACAATCCACAGTGAAGTGTTAATAATATTTGTATTTTGCACTATTACCTGTCCATCAGCACAGATGAGAGAGAAATGCTTAAACTCCAACACCTTAAGTAAAGCAGTAACTAGGAAAGTGTCCTGGAATTCTGAGATTACTAATAAAAGAGATGTACTAAAGTGTAATTTTCACAGACCACATTATTATTCTACAGGAAATAAAATGACCAACAAGGAATGAGTTTTCTTTGTATTAACTTGATTTTTGGAAAACAAAAACACCAGGAGTTAACCTGGCAAGTTCCTCTTGGGGATCTATGGTATCAGTGCTCCTGCCTCCACCTGCTGGCAAACAGATTACGAAACTAGCAGAGATCATAAGGGTAGGAAAGTTAGCATTTTTGGAGTAACAAATTAATGTTGTTTTATGCAATACCTAGCATGATGCTAATTTTGTTAATAAATTATTAAAATGTTGATGAAATCCATTATACTTCTACAGAAAAACACATTTAATGTCACATACACACAAAGAGATTTCTTTCTTCAGAATGTTACCTATCAGGCCAAAAATCATTTAAAAAAAATGTTAATTACCTGATAAATGACATCTTGGAAAAGGACTGGAAAAGTAAGTGCTGCATCTTCTAGCTCATTTAGACTACAGTGCACTAGTGTTTCATCCTTAAAATAAAAAACACATATTGACTCAAACAAGATAGTAAAAGAAACTTCAAAGGATAATTTCATGTATTCGTAATCACCAAAAACACTAAAGCACCCACTCATATGTGGAATTTTACATTTATAATATATTACTCTATGTGGCACAGCAATGTGAAACAGGAGTTTTTAAAGTCACCGGTTCTCAAGTGTAGCTCCTGGACTAGCAAGCAGCATCAACATCATTTGAGAACTAGTTAGAAATCCAAATATTAACTTCACTTCTGACAATCAGTAACTCAGGAGAGGGGATGGGGCTCAGCAATCCCTGTGTGGCTTTTTGTTTTTGGTTTTTTTTGAGACGGAGTTTCCCTCTGTTGCAGTGGCACGATCTCAGCTTACTGCAACCTCCGCCTCCCAGGTTCAAGCAATTCTCCTGCCTCAGCCTCCCAAGTAGCTGGGATTACAGGTGCCTACAACCATGCCTCGGTAATTTTTTTTTTTTTTGAGACGGAGTTTCGCTCTTGTTACCCAGGCTGGCGTGCAATGGCGCAATCTCAGCTCACCGCAACCTCCACCTCCTGGGTTCAGGCAATTCTCCTGCCTCAGCCTCCTGAGTAGCTGGGATTACAGGCACGCGCCACCATGCTCAGCTAATTTTTTGTATTTTTAGTAGAGATGGGGTTTCACCATGTTGACCAGGATGGTCTCGATCTCTTGACCTTGTGATCCACCCGCCTCGGCCTCCCAAAGTGCTGGGATTACAGGCTTGAGCCACCACGCCCGGCCCTCGGTAATTTTTATATTTTTTGTTAAAGACAGGGTTTCACCATATTGGTCAGGCTGGTCTCGAACTCCTGACATCAAGTGCTCCACACACCTTGGCTTCCCAAAGTGCTAGGATTACAGGAGTGAGCCACCATGCCTGGCAGCAATCTGTTTTGTTTTGTTTTGTTTTTTGAGACAGAGTCTCGCACTGTTGCCCAGGCTAGACTGCAGTGTCGAGATCTCAGCTCACTGCAATCTCTGCCTCCTGGATTCAAGGGATCCTCCTGCCTCAGGATCCTCAGTAGCTGGGACTACTAGAGGTGTGCCACCACGCCTCGCTAATTTTTTTGTATTTTTAGTAGAGACAGGGTTTTCATCGTGTTAGCCAGAATAGACTCAATCTCCTGACCTCATGATTTGCTGGCCTCATGATCCATTACTGGCGTGAGCCATCATGCCCGGCCTAGCAATCTCTGTTTTTAGAAGCACTTCAGATGACTCTGACACATAATCGAGTTTGAGAAACATGGCTCTGAGTTCTGTAGTTGCCAACTTTTAGTTAAACCAACAGGCATGCTACTTTTTTATAATTAGTAAGTTTAAGTGTAGAACCTAATTATCTAAAAAATATATTCTGTTCATATAACTCCTCATCCTCCAACTTTTTATAAAGCATCTTACTTTAAGTAGGTACTTTAGTATCTCACAAATTATGTTTCATACAGTTTTACTAAATAGCAAACAATGAAAACTTCTCATCTTTAATTACCACATCTTGTTTTCTAATTAAAAGAATAAGAAAGTAAGGTGAGGTCGGGTGTGGTGGTTCACACCTGTAATCCAAGCACTTTGGAGGCCAAGGCAGGTGGATCACCTGAGGTTGGGAGTTCAAGACTAGCCTGACCAACATGGTGAAAATCTGTCTTAAAAAAAAAAAAAAAAAAGAAAGAAAGTAAGGTGAGTTCAAATAGGGCAGGCACAAATATTTATGTCCATTTCTCAAACCCTGAATGTTTAAAAAAAGAAAAGGCTTTCATTAGTATCAAGTGACAGAATTAAAAATAGTAATAAAAGTGGCTAATAACAATCCCTGAAATTTTCAGTAAGTTTAAAATCAGTTAAAATAAAATACAAATGTTCATCCTTTGTAATTCCACAACTTATTAGCTGGAGTGTTTCTTTTAACCTAAAGTTAAACTCTGGGAAGGCAAAGAGCAAAAAATACTCTAGATATGCCTCATTTTAATAGCATATTAGACTAAGCATTTCATGGTATTCTCTTAGCATCTTAAGTATTTTCTTTACTATAACTGAATCATAATCCTAGTACTTCTTCATCTATGGCCTATTAAATTTTGATTATTCTTCATCTACTTCTGTAAAATTATTTATGCTTAGCCAATTCTTATCTTTCCTTCTCTGTTACCCGAATACTAGATTCAAAATAATAAGGTCAAACTTCACCACATCAACTCCTAAATTCAAAATCACCTTTTTCTCCCCTCCCCTCCCTCCTCCCTCCCTCCCTCCCTCCCTCCCTCTCTCTCTCTCTTTCTTTCCTTTTTTTTGAGACAGAGTCTCACTCTGTTGCCCAGGCTGGAATGCAGTGGCACAATCGCAGCTCACTGCAACCTCTGCCTCCGGGGTTAAAGCAGTTCTCCTGCCTCAGCCTCCTAAGTAGCTGGGTCTACAGGCATACGCCACCACACTCAGCTAATTTTTGTATTTTTAGTAGAGATGGAGTTTTACCATGTTGCCAGGATGGTATCGATCTCCTGAAAGACCTTGTGATCCACCTGCCTCAGTCTCCCAAAGTGTTGGGATTACAGGCGTGAGCTACCATGCCTGGTCAAAATTATCTTTTTCATTGTCTCCACTGACCTGCACATCAAATCTGTGCTATTTATAACTGTTTCAAAATTTTATTTTTATTTATACTCAAATAAGTACCTTAGGACTTGTGGATACTTCTCTTACATCTCTTTGGCTAGGCAAAAACTAAGTTGTTGAACTCTCAAAACACAATTATACATGCAAATTTAAAATTTAAAATAATAGACTTCTTCCTCAAGGTATCTTTTTTTTTTTTTTTTTGAGGCAGAGTCTCACTCTGTGAACAACCTGAACAAGGCCGAAGTACTGTGGCACAATCTAGGCTCACTGCAATTTGCACCTCCTGGTTTCAAGCGATTCTCCTCATTCAGCTTCCCAAGTAGCTAAGATTACAGGCATGCACCACCACGCCTGGCTAATATTTATATTTTCAGTAAAGATAGGGTTTCACTCTACTGATCAGGCTGGTCTCCAACTCCTGTACTCAAGTATTTGCCCGCCTTGGCCTCCCAAAGTGCTGGGATTACAGGTGTGAGCCACTATGCCCACATAGGTTAAGAATATTAATCTAGGTAAAGAAAATTTACCTACATAAATTTTCTTTCCTTCTTTTTTTTTTTGAGACAGAGTCTCACTCTTTCACCCAGGCTGGAGTGCAATGGCGCGATCTCGGCTCACTGCAACCTCGGTCTCCCAGGTTCAAGTGATTCTCCTGCCTCAGCCTCCTGAGTGGTTGGGATTACAGGCACGTGTCACCACGCCCAGCTAATTTTTGTATTTTTAGTAGAATTGGGATTTCACCATCTTGGCCAGGCTGGTCTCGAACTCCTGACCTTGTGATCCATCTACCTCGGCCTCCCAAAGTGCTGGGATTACAGATGTGAGCCACCGTGCCCAGCTCTTTCCTTCTTTTAAAACTGAAATGATATCTGGCTTTGCTGCTCAGGCTGCAGTACGGTGACAAAATCGTAGCTTACTGCCACTTCAAATTCCTGGCCTCAAGGGATCCTCCTGTCTCAGTCTCCCAAGTAGCTGGGACCACAGGGTTGCACCACCAGGCCCATTCATTTTTTGTAGAGCCGTGGGTCTCACTATGTTGTCTGGGATGGTCTTGAATTCCTGGGCCGAATGGAGGCTCAAAGTGCTGAAATTACAGGCATGAGACACTGTGCCTGGCTAAGATAAATTTTCTATGAGAACTAAATCACATCTCCAATTATAGGGTACCAGAAACAAATGCTTAATAATATTTTCCAATATGACATGAGATTCATTTTTTTACCAATATCAAAAATTAGTTCCTTCCCCAATCCCACTGCTTTACTAGCCTTAAAAAAAAGTAAACAAATTTTAAAAATGCAAAATCAGTAATTAATTAGAGGCAGAGGCCGGGCGCGGTGGCTCAAGCCTGTAATCCCAGCACTTTGGGAGGCCGAGGCGGGCGGATCACTAGGCCAAGAGATCGAGACCATCCTGGTCAACATGGTAAAACCCCGTCTCTACTAAAAATACAAAAAATTAGCTGGGTGTGGTGGCGCGTGCCTGTAATCCCAGCTACTCAGGAGGTTGAGGTGGAAGAATTGCCTGAACCCAGGAGGTGGAGGTTGCGGTGAGCCGAGATCATGCCATTGCAATCCAGCCTGGGTAACAAGAACGAAACTCCGTCTCAAAAAAAAGAAAGAAATTAGAGGCAGATGGGAAATGTGACTATATATTAAATTTGGTTAGCAAATAGGAGATAATTGTTTTAAAAACTCTTCTGGTACTCTAAAATATCATTTTTTTTCAAGAAAGAATCTTGCTCTGTCACCATGGCTGGGGTGCAGTGGCATGATCTCAGCTTACTGCAACATCTGCCTTCTGGGTTCTAGGATTCTCATGCCTCAGCTTCCCGAGTAACTACAATTACAGGTGCATATCACCAAGCCCAGCTAGTTTTTGAATTTTTAGTAGAAAATAAGTTTCGCCATGTTGGTAAGGCTAGTCTTAAACTCCAGGCCTCAAATGATCCACCTACCTTGATCTCCCCAAATTCTCAGATTACAGGCATGAGCTACCACCCTGAGCCCCTAAAATACAAATTTTTAAATTATATCAGAGATCAGATTAAAAATTTTGTTAGTATTAAGAAACTGTGCTTTTAAGACTAAAGTTTATTGGTATAATATATATATATAAATAAGGGTTATGGTCTTGCATATGGTTAATTCGGTTGACCCAAACTATATTTGGTCCTTCAGGAAAACATGATCCTAACAAAAAAGGAGAAAGCTAATATATACATGATTTTAAAAAAGAATTTCACCCGTTTATTCTCTCTACCTTTAGAGACTTACCAAGTCTAAAACTAGGGAGAATTCCGGTGTGCTTCTTGTTTTCAACGGAAGAGCAGGTTTCCTATTTAGTTGTTCTTCTGTCAGTGGCGGGACATGTTTGATGAAATAATAGCTATAAATCAGATTTTTAAAAAATTTCAACATTTTACTTTTTATAAATACAAAACATTACTAAGCTCAGCTCATTTAAAAGTCTATAAAGCAGTTAACCCAGAAAACCAAACATATAAAATATGTTAATAAAAGTAAAAATATATAAATTAGTATCTCTATAAATCAGTCTCACTCTATCACAGCTTTCTGTAACCTCTGCCTCTTGGGTCCAAGTGATCCTCCCCAATAGCCGGGACTAAAGGTGTATGTCCCAGCCAATTTTTGTATTTTTTATAGAGACAGGTTTTGCCATGTTGCCCAGGCTGGTCTTGAACTCCAGGGCTCAAACAATCTGCCTGCCTGGGTCTCTCAAAGTGCTGGGATGAGCCACTGTACCCAGCCCCAGTAAAAGCTGTAGTACCTACACAGGTTATATACCCAGTAAAAGTTCTAATACCTACAGGTTATATATCTTGGCAATATACTATTTAGCCACCAATCCACATATATAACGAACTTTCATCATGCTCCAAAACGAAAGAGGGGAGAGGGGGGTGGGGAGGGAGGGAGGGGGAGGGAAACAAACAAACAAACAAACAACTAACTCACGGGTCAAATACTTCCCAGTCTTCTTCATAGGTGGCCTCTGCATGGGCTGATGAATAACCACTATCTGGAGTTACTGGCGCTGTTTAATACAGTGAAAGACAAAATGTTGCTTTTACTTAATGCTTCATGAAATACACATTTTTACTGCTCCTATGTAAGATCTTCCTGAAGCCCTGTAATACACATTTTTACTGCTTCTATATTAAGATCTTCTGAAACCCTATGTATTTTAGATTAAAGACAAACAATTTGTAAACAACACATAAAAGCAAATTTGTTAACATATAGATCTAACTTTAGATCTAAAGGGAAAAATGACCACTACAGACAAAATGGCAAATCAGATCATAGCTAGAATTAAGATGTTTATCAGCTAAGAGAAAATGTACTACTTGGCCAGGCGCAGTGGCTAACGCCTGTAATCCAAGCATTTTGGAGGCCAAGGCGGGCGGATCACCTAAGGTCAGGAGTTGAAGTCCAGCCTGACCAACATGGTGAAACCCCATCTTTATAAAAAAAGAAAAAAATAAAAATAAATACATAAAAGAGAATATGTACTAGTTATTAATAGAAAAACATACTCTAAAAATGGAATCTCTTAATTGTATGACGTTTACATGTAATCACCAAAAAAATTTTCATGGTTCTCTTATAGGCATAACAGTTCAAAAAGTGCCTTGTATACATAGGCAGTGTATCCTGACATTAGACCCAAAATTTTTTTTTTTTTTTTTTGAGATGGGAGTCTCGTTCTGTTGCCCAGGCTGGAGTGCAACTGCACAACTCAACTCATTGCAACCTCTGCTTCCCAGGTTCAAATGATTCTCCTGCCTCAGCCTTCTGAGTAGCTGGGATCACAGGTGCGCACCATCACGCCTGGCTAAGTTTCGTATTTTTAGTAGAAATGAGGTTTCACCATGTTGGTCAGGCTGGTCTTGAACTCCTGACCTTGTGATCTGCCTGCCTCAGCCTCTCAAAGTGCTGGGATTAAATGTGTGAGCCACCGCGACTGGCCCAAATGTAGTTTTTAAACCTGAAACCCACAAACAGTCTTTAAAAGGTTCATGAACCGTTTGAAAACTTATTTTTAAAAAATTGTATGTACATGTTTCTAGGAATCTCAAGACTACGATCTCAAAAAGTTAAGACACGGGGCGAGGCACATTGGCTCACGCTTGCAATCCCAGGACTTTTGGAGACCGAAGTGGGCGGATTACCTTATGTCAGGAGTTCGAGAGCAGCCTGACCAACATGGAGAAACTCCGTCTCTACTAAAAATACAAAATTTGCCGGGCGTGGTGGCGCATGCCTGTAATCCCAGCTACTCAGGAGGTTAACGCAGAAGAATTGCTTGAACCTGGAAAGCAGAGGTTGCAATGAACCAAGATCACACCATTGCACTCCAGCCTGGGCAACAAGAGCAAAACTCCATCTCAAAAAATGTATATAAAAATAAAATAAATTAAGAAATGCTACTCTATGCAGAAACTGTTCTTTATTTTAGTTTTTTTGAGATGGAGTCTTCCTCTGTCGCGTAGGCTGGAGTGCAGCGGCACGATCTCAGCTCACTGCAACCTCCACCTCTGGGGTTCAAGTGATTCTCCTGACTCAGCCTCCCAAGTAGCTGGGATTACGGGTGCCTGCCACCACCCCCGGCTAATTTTTTTGTATTTTTAGTAGAGAAGGGGTTTCAGCATGTTGTCCAGGCTGGTCCTGAACTCCTGACCTCAGGTGATCCACTCACCTCGGCCTCCCACAGTGCAGGGTAACAGGCTTAAGCTACCTCGCCCAACCAGAAATTGTTCTTTTAGTCAGTCTGTCTTTTGTTTTTGAGACAAGGTCCTGTTCTGTTACCCAGGCTGGAGTGCCGTGGAGCAAACACTGTGGTCTTGACCTAGGTTCAGGCAATCCTCCTGCCTCAGCTTCCCAAGTAGGTGGGACTACAGGTGTACCACCACACCTGGATAATTTAAAAAACTTTTTTTGTAGAGACAAAAAAGGGTCTCATTATGCTGCCCAGGCTGGTCTCAAACTCCTGAGCTCAAGATATCCTCCCTTCTCAGCCTCCTTAAGTGCTGGTGAGCCATCGTGCCTGATCAAAATCACTGCTTTATAAGACATACTATTTTACTTCTAATTTATCAACAACTTAAAAATGATCCAGAAGTAATTCTATATTGCATGCCATAGTTCATTCCCAGTTTGAGCTAAGATCATATCATTTAATAGAGCTTTAGAAATTATACTGGAAATTTTCCAAGACAATAATTACAACTTAAATGTAAAGAGAAGACAAAGGTAACTTATAAGCCAAGCAGGTAATGTCTCAGATATAAAAATTTAAAGTGGAACCCAATAAAAATTTCTGTGATGTTTCTATAGAAATGAAATGGATAGTCTTTCAAGACAAAATAGTCTTTTGTCCAAAATAGACTTTTGAGATAGAGTCAACCTGGTATGTATGTTCAATGGATGACATCAGATATAAAACAGAATTTTTGTGCATCTCTGGCAATATTATGCTTCTAATAATTAGCACAAGAAAATGTATCTTCCAACAACTTACTGTTTCAGGTTCCTATTAACCTCAGATGAATTAACAAAATTTATTTTTATTTATTTACTTTATTATTTTTCAAGACAAGTCTCACTTTGTCACCCAGGTTGGAGTGCAGTGGCATGAACATAGCTCACTGCAGCCTTGACCTCCCAGGTCAAGCAATCCTCCTACCTCAGTCTTTCAGGTAGCTGGGACTATAGGTTTTTGAGCCATGATGGGCAGCTAATTTTTTATGTATTTTTTTTTTGTAGAGACAGGGTTTCACCATATTGCCCAGGCTAGTCTCAAACTCCTGAGTTCAAGTGATCTGCCCACCTCGACCTCCCAAAGTGCTGGGATTATAGGCATGAGCCATGGTGCCCAGCCAATAATATTTGTTAAATGCTTATATGTTAAGTATTTTGCATATTTTATGTCATTTAGCCTGCAAAACCTTGTATTATAAAAGCCATGTTAAAGCTGAGAAAACTAAATCTGAAACTGTCTCAAGGGCTTAAATAAGTCATCCAAAGTAACAAAGCCACCAGCTTCCTACCTTCTTTTTCTCTTTGGCTATGTTCTCAAGGAAAAGAATACTTTTGTCACTCATACTCGTCTTTTAAGATCAGTATAAATGTTACCCCATCTAGGTTCTCATGATCATCCTAATGGAGTAACTGTAGTATGTCACACCATGTCATTTAGCTCACTTCTTTGTAGCAGCACTCACCATACTGTATGGTGATGTTTCTGTATACTTGGCTCTTCAGTTAGATAACAAACTTCTCAGGGGTCAAAGAAAAATAGGTGCTCATAAACACTGGGGGAATAAATGAACGACTGTGACAACTACAGTAAATTTTAATTTTCCCTTCTAGAAACCCCTAAGGTTATAGAAATCCTTTCTCCAACCTCACAGTTGTCAGAAAAAATAAATACAAAGGCTTAAATACCAGCATGAAAATATAGAACAAACATCAAACAGGAAGCCAAAACCCTGAACTTTAGTCTATACTTTACTTCATTAGTCTTATACCCAATGGGCAAAGTAATAAGCATAAAATGATGGGTCAAAGGTGGGTTAATTGAAAGTATCACCCACAAAATGAACGTAATTGATTTGCTTGTTAGATTCCGTATTAATATAAATTTAACATTACAGATACGAATCTTTTACTTGATGGCTTTAAAATAAACCTTTCCTATTTTGCTGCTTGTCCCTTCATATTGATATTACTGGACTGCATTATATAGAAGCTTCATAATTGTACCATATTTTCTTTAAATGTTTTCTGCTGTGTCACTGACTTTTTTAAAAGCTTTCTTTTTATAGCTCAGAGAAGTACAGATGCACCTAGACTTATGATGGGGCTATATCCCAATAAACTGATCATAAGTCACAAATATCTTAAGTCAAAATGCATTTAACACCCTAATAAACCCACTGTAAGGTAAAAAATTCTGAAGATGAACCACTGTAACTCAGGAACAATCTGTATATTATTCTACTTCCTTAAACCAAACTATGTTTCTTTTTTTCTTTCTCAATACTAGATCTTGCTCTGCTGCCTAGGCTGGACTGCAGTGACCCAATCATAGCTCATGGTAGTCTGGAACTCCTGGGCTCAAGCAAACCTCCTCCTTTAGCCTCTTGAGTAACTAAGACAACAGGCACACACCACCATCCCTGTTAATTTTTTAAAAAACCATTTTTTTGGCCAGGAGAGGTGGTTCACGCCTACAATCCCAGCACTATGGGAGGCTGAGGTGGATGGATCATTTGAGGTCTGGAGTTCGAGACTAGCCTGATCAACATGATGAAACCCCGTATCTACCAAAAGTTAAAAAAAAAAAATTAGCTGGACGTGGTAGTATACGCCCATAATTCCATCTACTCAGGAGGATGAGGCAGGAGAATTACGTGAACCCAGGAGGCAGAGGATGCAGTGAGTCAAGATCATGCCATTGCACGATCCAGTCTTTCATATTTTTCTTTTTCTTTTTTTTTTTGAGACGGAGTTTTGCTCTTGTTACCCAGGCTGGAGTGCAATGGCGCGATCTCGGCTCACCGCAACCTCTGCCTCCTGGGTTCAAGCAATTCTCCTGCCTCAGCCTCCTGAGTAGCTGGGACTACAGGCATGCGCCACCATGCCCAGCTAATTTTTGTATTTTTAGTAGAGACGGGGTTTCACCATGTTGACCAGGATGGTCTCGATCTCTCGACCTCGTGATCCACCCGCCTCGGCCTCCCAAAGTGCTGGGATTACAGGCTTGAGCCACCGCGCCCGGCTTCATATTTTTCTTAAATAAACATGCATGTCCAGCCTGAGGGACAGAGCTAGACTCTACCCCACATAGGGTCTGGCTCTTTTGCCCAGGATGGTCTCAAACTCTTGACCTCAAGCAATCCTCCTGTCTTGGTCTCCTAAAGTGCTGGGATTACAGGCCTGAGCCACCATGCCTAGCCTCAAACTAGGTTTCTTAACTAACATATATTTATTGGGCTCTCTCAAATACCTGGTACCAAAATAAACAAACAAAAAATTTAAGATGAAATCTCCATGCCCTAATAAGATGGCCTTCTTCAGTTTTATTTCTGCTTTTAAGGATGGAACACAATTTCATCTTTTACCTTATCTATCTACCACAATATTCAGAGGTAATAAATTCCTGATCCATGTGTTTCCACATTTCAACAACTGGCTCAGAAACCCAGTAATTACGCTTGGCAGATCCAAGTCAGGCTGCAAAGTTAGATATATGAGGAGATCTAGGAACAGAAGCACCTATGGGAGGAATCTCATAGGTGTAATGAAACAAATCTGAATGTATGAGACTGCTTCTAGGTAGAGACCTCAGACATAAGGGTCCAAGACCTGTGCAATAATAAGAAGGATGTTCATGAACATGAGCATGTATTTTGCTGTGTCAAATTTCTCAAAGCAATAAGGTTGGTGGAAATAATTAAACTGTGAAATGACTAATACTTGGTCAAAACCTTTAAAAAACATTCAATTTCAAAATGACTTTGGATTTTTGGGACTAAGTTTTGTTCCCAATTTTAATTTTTTTTTTAACTTCCAGGAAGAAAAACCTATGCATATAATCTATTTAAGAAAAATATGAAATACTGTATTTTTATCAACTACTCATGAAGATGTACAAGAAATTTTCTTCACCTGTAAGGGGTGGGATATCACGATTAACTGTTTCTTCTGCTTCTTCTAAACCATTGTTTATTGATGCTCTCACTTGAACTGCTTGATTTGAGTAAGCTGCTCCATTAGTTGATGTAGTAGTACTGGTAGTGATCTCATCCACCTGTTCCATATCAAGCTGTTTTACTATTTCTTCAGCTTCCACAGCCTGTCCTGGAGAATCTGATCCTGATGTTCCTAAAATCATAATTCAGTGTACTATTATCATTTAAAAATACAACTATTTAGAAAAACTAAATACAACATTGCCGTACAATAGATTTATTTAGACTGGTAATTCCTACAGGAGCAAAGCCGAGAATATTTTTTTTTAGAGAATCTTTGCTAGCCATTTCAAACAATGAGGAATGAAGGCTTACGGGATAGAGTAACATTTGTGAGCAAAGTTTCTGCATCCTAGACATGTGTGCAATTGTAATTTTTCAACCAGAGGTATCAAAAAATTAGCTAACTGTTCTAATCACGAGAAACTTTTAATTAAAAGACAGAAGAATAATTTCTCAGCAAAATTCTCTCAGTAATAAAGACTGGGTCAGGTGTGGTGACTCATGCCTGGAATCCCAGCACTTTGGGAGGCTCAGGCAAGCTGATTGCTTGAGCTCAGGAGATTGAGACCAGCCTAGGCAACATGAGGGAGAGAGGGAGGGGGGGAGAGGGGGGGAGAAGGGGAGGGGGAGAGGGGGAAGGGGAGGGGGAGAGGGGGAGGGGGAGAGAGAAAGGGAGGGGAAGAGAAGGGGAGGGGGGAGGGGGAAGGGGAGGGGGGAGGGGGAGGGGGAGGGGGAGGGGGGAGGGGGAGAGGAGGAGGGAGGGGGATGGAGGGAGAGGAGGAGGGAGGGGGAGGGGGGAGAGAAGGGGAGGGGGAGAGGGAGGGGGGAGGGGGAGGGAGAGAGGGAGAGGAAGAGGGGAGGGGGAGGGGGGAAGAGAGAGAGAGAGAGAGATCATCTCTTACAATTATCAAACTTCAACTCCTTCTTCTCCAAACATCTATTTCTGTACATATCTTCAGACTCTTCAGCATGAAAATATTACTACTAAATACTGTAATTTTTTGAGATGGAGTTTCACACTGTCTCCTGGACTAGAATGCAATGGTGTGATCTCAGCTCACTGCAACCCCTGACTCTCTGGTTCAAGCGATTCTCCTGTCTCAGCCTCCTGACTAGCTGGGATTACAGGCATGCGCCACCACACCAAGCTAATTTTTGTATTTTTATTTTTATTTTTATTTATTTATTTTTTTTTTGCGACGGAGTTTCGCTCTTGTTACCCAGGCTGGAGTGCAATGGCGCGATCTCGGCTCACCGCAACCTCCGCCTCCCGGGTTCAGGCAATTCTCCTGCCTCAGCCTCTTGAGTAGCTGGGATTATAGGCACGCGCCACCATGCCCAGCTAATTTTTTTTATTTTTAGTAGAGACGGGGTTTCACCATGTTGACCGGGATGGTCTCGATCTCTCGACCTCGTGATCCACCCACCTCAGCCTCCCAAAGTGCTGGGATTACAGGCTTGAGCCACCGCACCCGGCTTAATTTTTGTATTTTTAGTAGAGACAAGGTTTTCACCATGTTGGCTGGGATGGTCTCATTTTCTGACCTCATGATCCACCCACCTCGGCCTCTCGGCTAGTATTACAAGTGTGAGCCACCATGCCTGGCCCTGAATATTTTTATTTGAATATTTCATAGCATCTCAAACTCATCATGGCCCAAATTACACTCAGCTACCTATCTCCCAGGGACTTTATTTTCCTTGAATCTTCCACTCTTCTCTCATCTTCTCTATTCTCTTTCACCTCCAATCTACACCAAAAATGTGTCTATTTTCTGTCCTCTGATCCTTCCTGTCTTCTCTAATACAATTAAGGTCTCATCAAGTCTCACATGAACTACTACAAGTCTACTAATTGTTCCACCTGCCTACAGCCTCTTCAGAATCTACCCTATACACTATTGCCCAAGTGATCTTTATAAAACATAAATCAGATCATATTATTCACCAACTTAAAACCTTTCAGGCTGCTCTCCCTATGGAGTAGCCATTCTTTATTGCTTTACTTTCTTAAGAAACTTGCTTTCACTTTGGAAAAAAAAAACAAAACACCTTTCAATTATCACCTACTTGAATAAAGTTTATCATCTTACTAGGTTAGCTCTATAGTATGACTTCTTCATAGCTCTCCTACCTTATCGCTTCTCAAATCCACAGTTCCATCAATACATTCTCAAATACACTAGACTGTTTTCTGCTGCAAGGCCTCTACTCATGCTGCTCCTACCTGGAATGCCTTTTACCACCTTTCCAGATTCAGCTTTTCTTTGAAGCCTTTTGTGAGCCTCCCACCGCCCCCACTAGAGGACAGGGCCATTCCATTCTTCTTCTTTTATTTTTTTAAGAGACAGAGTCCCACTTGGCTGTCCAAGCTTGAGTGCAATGGTGCAATCATAGCTCACTGCAGCTTCAAACTCCTGGGTTCAAACTGCCAGGTTCAAGCATTCCTCCCACTTCAGCCTTTGAAGTAGCTAGGACTACAGTGCACTTGAGTAATTTTTACTTTTTTTGTAGACACAGGGCCTTACTATGTTGCCCAGGCTAGTCTTAAACTCCCGCCCTTGAGCAATTCTCCTGTCTCAGCATCCTGAAGCGTTTTTAATCCGGCATCAGCCACCACACCCAGCTCACAAGGAGCTGTATATTTTTAATGAGGTGGAAAACAAACGAGATGCTGACAAAATCAGCTAATAAAGTAAAAAAGTATGTATTTTAGGCCGGGCGCGGTGGCTCAAGCCTGTAATCCCAGCACTTTGGGAGGCCGAGGCGGGTGGATCACAAGGTCAAGGGATCGAGACCAGCCTGGTCAACATGGTGAAACCCCGTCTCTACTAAAAATACAAAAAAAATTAGCTGGGCATGGTGGTGCGTGCCTGTAATCCCAGCTACTCAGGAAGCTGAGACAGGAGAATTGCCTGAACCCAGGAGGCGGAGGTTGCGGTGAGCCGAGATCGCGCCATTGCACTCCAGCCTGCGTAACAAGAGCGAAACTCCGTCTCAAAAAAAAAAAAAAAAAAAAAAAAAGTATGTATTTTTAAAAACTATGTATTTTTTTGCTGGGCGCAGTGGCTCACACCTGTAATCCCAGCACTTTGGGAGGCTGAGGTGGGCAGATCACTTGAAGGTCAAGATTTTGAGATCAGCCTGGTTAACATGGTGAAACCCTGTCTCTACCAAAAATACAGAAAAAAATTGGCTGGGGGTGGTGGTGGGCACCTATAGTCCCACCCACTCGGAAGGTTGAGGGAGGAATATTGCTTGCACCAAGGAGGTGGAGGATGCAGTGAGCGTAGGTCATGCCACTGCACTCCAGCCAGAGCAACAAAGCGATACTTCATCTTAAAAAAAAAAAAAAAAACAAAAAAAAAACTATGCATTTTTTAAAACCCAAATCACAGCTAATGGTTTATACTTACCATTTTTATTTGCTGGTGAAAAAAAGTTGAAGACAGGTGAAAATATGGTCCCCAACAAAGTAGTCCTTGGAGGACTGCCAGAGGAAGGATTATCTTCTAATTTTCCATTTTGTTTTACATGTTGATTTGTCATTTCATAACTACCAGCTTCTAAAAAAGAAAAAAGAAAAAAGTCATGATCTAGAAAATACTGATTTTCAGAAATGTTATAAATCATTTATAGAAGTAACTCTTTTTCCCACAAAATACTTCATGAAAGCTAATTAATGCTAATGTTCAGAAGAGCTTGTTAAAGAAAACCTGAGGTCAATTACTTCTAAGTCAAATGTTCTGTATGTGTTTCTAATGCTAATATTTAGTGAATTTTTTCAAAGCAGATTTACACCTGTAGACTGAAAGTCTTCAAATCAACACAGTATAACACAAAATGAATTATTTGTAAGCAAGCAAACTAGTTCCTACTATCTAAAACACAAGTTATTTTTTTTTTTTTTAATTTTATATTCTGGGATGGTTCTACTTCCTAAAACCTTCCCTTGTTGGGCATGGTGGCTCTAATCCCAGCACTTTGGGAGGCTGAGGCAGGTGGATGAGGAGGTCAGGAGTTTGAGACCAGCCTGGCCAATATGGTGAAACCCCATCTCTAATAAAAATACAAAAATTAGCTGTGCATGGTGGCAGGCACCTGTAATCTCTACTACTTGGGAGGCCGAGGCAGAGAATTGCTTGAACCTGGGAGGTGGAGACTGCAGTGGGCCAAGATCGCACCACTAAACTCTGGCCTGGGTAACAGAGAGAGACTCCATCTCAAAACAAACAGACAAAAACAAACAAAAAACCCAAAAACACTTCCCTCACATCTGTTTCTATATAATGAATGACAGCTAAATGAGTAGAAGCAACATAAATCTACTGAAGCAAAGACTATATATACAGCAGTGTCAAAAATTACTTGTGGACACTGAGGCACCATCTTGGAGTGGCTAAGAAGAATAATGGTAAGTTTCCTATAAATAAACATGTTCCACAGATTTTTTTTTTTAATGCAAAAGTAAAATCAACTGTTCTAATTAATCATTCTTTAACTCTCCACAACTTGATGTCTACCATTTTATTTATTTCCTTCTTTGCTATGTTCTTTTAACTTGATTATTATTCTTTTTTTTTTTTGAGACGGAGTCTTGCTCTTGTTACCCAAGCGGAAGGGTAGTGCCGTGATGTCGGCTCACTGCAAACTCCATCTCCTGGGTTCAAGTGATTCTCCTGCCTCAGCCTCCCAAGTAGCTGGGACTACAGACGCGTGCCACCACGCCAGGCTAATTTTTTCGTATTTTAGTCAAGATGGGGTTTCACCATATTAGCCAGGATAGTCTTATCTCCTGACCTCATGCTCCACCCACCTTGGCCTCCCAAAGTACTGGGATTACAGGTGTAAGCCACCATGACCAGCCCCCACTTTTTTTTTTTTTTGGAGACGGAGTCTTGCTCTGTTGCCCAGGCTGGAATGCAGTGGCAAGATCTCAGCTCACTGCAACCTCTGCCTCCTGGGTTCAAGCAATTCTGCTATTTCAGTCACCTGAGTAGCTGGGATTATAGGTGCACACCAACTTGCCCAGCTAATTTTTGTATTTTTAGTAAAGACGGGGTTTCAACATGTTGGTCAGGCTAGTCTCCAACTCTCAAGGTGCTGGGATTGCAGGCATGAGCCACTGTGCCCAGCCTAACTTGTTTCTCTATTTTGTCCCCCCTTGTCTTGTCTCAGTCTTCTTTATCTCCTTTCTGTTTTGTTTTTTCTAACAATCAAGATATATTATTGCACTGGGCAGAGATAAGGGGAGAAATTACTGCTGTGTTTAAGACAGCACTGGTCAAAATAGTACTCCATAATCTAAAGCAGGGATTCCTAATCCTCTACCCTCTGGTACTAGTCCACAGCCTATTAGGAACTGGGCCATGCAGCATGAGGTGAGCAAGCATTAATGGCTGAGCTCGGCCTCTACTACCTTACCTGCAGATAAGCTGCTGCATTATATTCTTTTAGGAACATGAACCCTATTGTGAACTGCACATGCAAGGGATCTAGGTTGTGCGATACTTATGAGAATCTAACTAATGTCTGATGATCTGAGATGCAACAATGTCATCCAGAAACCATCCCCATCACTGACAGTGGAAAAACTGTGTCTTCCACAAAACTGGTCCCTGGTGCCAAAAGGTTGGGGACAGTTGCTCTGAAGTTATAGCTGTCTCTGCTTTTCCTTAATGTTTTTCCTCCTTCTTTTTGACTTCGAGGAGTTTCTCTGCTATACAATAAGGTATTGACAGATTTATCAACAGCTACACTATTGACATTTCAGTCTGATAATTCTTTGTTTTGAAGAGCTGCCCTGTGTATTGTAGGATGTTTAATAACATCTCTGACATGTACCTGCTAGACACTGGTAGTCACCCCTCCACATGTTGTGACAACCAAAAAGTCTTTAGATATTGACAAATGTCCCTGAGAGGAAAAGAACCACCCCTAATTAAGAATTACTGGACTAAGTGATGCAAGTCCCCTCTGAGCTCTTAAGTAGCATAATCTAGGAAAAAATTTGGTACTCAATTAAATTAAGTCACAATCATTATTGCTTTAAGAAATGAGTTTATCAGATGTCCAAAATGTTGATCCATACACATTTTTATGCTAACAAGCATAAAAGTATATAGTTACTCTATCTTTACTTATTTTAATTCAAGGTAAAATTTTTAAAGTAGCACATTTTTATTTCACTATGTCACTAATACCTAATACAAAGGTTACAAAATTGAGGCAAAAATTACTCAAAGTAGTTTTGTTTTGTTTTTGAGACAGAGTATTACTGTCACCCAGGCTGGAGTGCAGTGGCACAATCTCAGCTCACTGCAACCTCCGCCTCCTGGGTTCAAGCAGTTCTCAAGCTTCGGCCACCTGAGTATCTGAAATTACAGGCAAGTGCCACCACGCCTGGCTAATTATTTGTGTGTGATTTTAGTAGAGACGGGGTTTTGTCATGTTGGCCAGGCTGCTCTCAAAGTCCTGGCCTCAAATGATCCGCCGACTTTGGCCTCTCAAAATGTGAGGATTACAGGCATGAGCCAATGCACCCAGCCTCAAAGTAGATTTTTAAAAATACCTAAGAAATGTGTCAGATGAGATCTCTGCTTACACCTAAATAAAACAGTATCTAAATATTAACAAACCTCCATTTACTTGACTTTTCCGTCTTACTCGAGATATCTGTTTGTTAGGTTTTTCTCCTGCTCTTGGTGTTGATGTGATCAAATTGTTATCTATATCACGTTCAATCCTACTCCGTTTTGAAGGATTTTCTCTCTCTTCCTTAAGAGAAAAAAAAAACACACTAAGCACAGTCATTCTGCCTTATAGGTTACAATATTAAAATGAGAAAATATGGTATAATATACTTTCCTCTGTTTTTCATATACAGGAAAAACAAAATGCAATTACAGGTAATATCAAATAGTAGTAGAAAACACAGAAAAAAATTGACAGGGCTGTAAGAATATGAATGTAGTTACAATATACAAATATAATTACAGCATGCCCACAATTCAGATCCCTTCCCCAGGATCCACTATGTTTTCCATGCCATCAAAATACTGAATTACAAAATGTGCTCTAAAACTTCAGCAGCTTTCCCTCATTTTTATAACTGTCCCAAAGAATAGAGATCATTTCCTTAAGTGACTCAGGGTAGGAGAGAGAGTCCCACTGAATGTGCTGGCAAGTCACACATTGCCCAAAAACAGGGGGTGGGGGTGAAGGTGGGGCCTGGCACTGCCACACCCCCTCAGTGCAAAATCTGTATTTTTCAAAGTTGTCTCTAAGGTAGGCAATTAAGGGGGAAAATCTTGGTAAGGTGGTATTCTTAAATCTATGAATCCCCACATAAATACAGAGAACTTAAGAAGCAACAAAAACCCATGGGCAACATTTACAACAAAACCAGAAGACAAGGTATTCCCCACAAACTTGAAAGTGCAAGCAGATGAGGACACACTAACAGGCACAATACCTAAATGTCCATATACACCAGTGCAAAGGAAAACGGAAGCAACAAGTGGCATGGCACACCGGAGAACAGAAGCCCCAAGCACCGGACAGGTAGGTAGTCACTGGGAACCACCGCAGGCCAATTTGAGAACAGCAAATGAAACAAGGGGAAGGGAAGTTAGGGAGTTGCTGTCCAGTCCAATAGCATAGGAGGTCGATGGTTAGAATTGAAATGACAGGAACAGTCTGCTCCTATGAACTTTTGAAACTGACCAACTCTGGGCCCCTTCTAGAAGAGCTTCCATACTGAGGGGGAAGTACTGGAAGTGAAATCAAATGTTGGTAGGGCAGGCACAAAAGAGAGGAAAGAGAAATTCCAAATAAACACACAGTAGAAATAAAAGACAAAACTCAAAAAGCATCACTAATATTTTGAAAACACTACATAAAAACAAAATTTTTTCAAAGAGACACCCTGAACTATACAAGTTTCTGAAAATTCAGAAAAACTACTTTCACATAAAAATGATCAAGAAAGTGTAGATATAAAAATCCCACACAAAACTATTATAATGAAACACACATGGAGCCAAATAATACCTCTATAAAGAACACATGTAAGAAAAACATGCATGGGGAAAGATTAAAATTATAATCTTTTATTTCAAAACCAGACAAAATACATTAAAAAAAAATATGAGGCCAGGTGTGGAGGCTCATGCCTGTAATTCTAGCACTTTGGGAGGTTGAGGCAGGAGGATTGCTTGAGGCCAGGAGTTGGAGATCAGGCTGCGATACACAGCAAGATTCTATTTCTACAGAAAAAACTTAAAAATTAACCAATCATGGTGGCAGGTGCCTACAGTCCCAGCAACTCAAGAGGCTGAGGCAAGAGGATCACTTGAGTATAGGGGTTTAAGGCTGCAGTGAGTCATGACTGTGCCACTGTACTCCAGCCTAGGCAATATAGCAAGATCCTATCCCCAAAAAAACAAACAAACTAAAAAGAAACCAAAAACAAAAGGGAAAGGGAGAGGAAAGGAGAGACATAAGAAGAGGAAAAAAAACTCAGAAACAGAAGAAAATATTTCAAAAATTTTTACAAATCATTTCAGAAATAAAGACTACACTAGAAGGGGCCCAAGACAGAGTAAACATTATTAGATTCTACCTGTAAAAGAAACAGAGGGTAAAATGAACAATTTTGTTTTTTTGAGGGCCTCACTAAGTTGCCCAAACTGGTCTCAAATTCCCAGGTTCAAGCAATCCTCCTGCCTTGGCCTCCTTACTAGCCAGGACAATAGGTGTTGGCCACCACACCTGACAAGGGAAAAAAATGATTTTTTTTTTTTTTTAAAAGAAATGAAGAAAATGTAAAAGCCAGGAGTAACATGTCAATTCAAGACATGTTTTATTTTTTATTTAGACAGTCTCACTCTCACCCAGGCTGCAGTGCACTGAGTAGTGCCATCTCGGCTCACTGAAACCTCTACCTCCTGGTTCAAGCAATTCTCCTGCTTCAGCCTCCCAAGCAGGTGGGATGACAGGCGACCACCACCACACCCAACTAATTTTTGTATTATTATTAGAGACAGGATTTCGCCATGTTGGTCAGGCTGTACTTGAACTCCTGACCTGAAGTGATGTGCCTGCCTTGGCCTCCCAAAGTGCTGGGATTAGAGGCCTGAGCCACCATGCCTGGCTCAATCCAAGATATATTTTAAATATAATAACTTTAAAAAAAAAATTATAAAACATTTGACAAAAATGCTTTTCATGCTGGAAGAAAATAGATTTAAAATGATCAAGATAAAATGTGAGCTAAGGATTTTATACCCAGCAAAACTGATTTTCGAGCATTAAGGGCACTGTTATCAACATGTAAAAACTCAGAATATGGTCCCCATAGGTCTTTTTTTTGAGACAGAGTCTGGCTCTTGTCGCCCAGGAAGGAGGGCAGTGGCACAATCTCAGTTCAACGCAACCTCCACCTCCAGGTTCAAGCAATTTTCCTGCCTCAGCCTCCTGAGTAGCTGGGATCACAGTTACCTACCAACACACCTGGCTAATTTTTGTTTTTTGTTTTGTTTTGGTTTGTTTTGTTTGTTTGTTTGTTTTTAGTAGAGATGGGTTTCACCATATTTGCCAGGCTGATCCTGAACTCCTGATCTCAGGTGATCTGCCTGCCTCGGCCTCCCAAAGTATTGGGATTACAGGCCTGAGCCACCGCGCTCAGACCCCATGAATCTTTTCTGAGGAATACACTAGAAAAATGAGCTTCAGACAATGATGTGAGGAGTAAGCATACACATTAAGTATATCAAACAGCCAGGCTCGGTGGCTCAAGCTTGTAATCCCAGCACCTTGGAAGGCTGAGGCGGGTGGATCACGAGGTCAAGAGATCGAGACCATCCTGGTCAACATGGTGAGACCCCGTCTCTACTAAAAATACAAAAAAATTAGCTGGGCATGGTGGCGTGTGCCTGTAATCCCAGCTACCCAGGAGGCTGAGGCAGGAGAATTGCCTGAACCCAGGAGGTGGAGGTTGCAGTGAGCCGAGATCGTGCCATTGCACTCCAGCCTGGGTAACAAGAGCAAAACTCCGTCTCAAAAAAAAAAAAAAGTATATCAAACAGATGGAGAATCTGTAGAATTAAGACAAATTTGAATAAAGGATAGCATGTAACGAGTATGTGCTCCAAAAACATAAACATAAAACTAAGAAAACTGGTGAGAGACACATACTAAATGAATTTCTGCAAGCATCAGATAAACAGTACCAGATAAAATCCTAAATGTATTAAGGTATGAATACTATAATGAAAAATATGCAAATAAATATAAAAGACTTTTGTGTTAAGTGCTTTTTTTGAGGAGGGGAGAGAGTTTCACTCTTGTTGCCCAGGCTGAAGTGCAATGGCTCAATCTCAGCTCACTGCAACCTCTCGCTCCTGGGTTCAAGCAATTCTCCTGCCTCAGCCTCCCAAGTAGCTGGGATTACAGGCATGTACCACCAAGCCTGGCTAAGTTTTTGTATTTTTAGTAAAGACAGGGTTTCTCCAAGTTGGTCAGGCTGGTCTCAACTCCCAACCTCAGGTGATTTGCCCACCTTGGCCTCCCAAAATGCTGGGATTACAGGTGTGAGCCACCATACCCTGCAAGAATTTTTTTTTATTTTTAAATAAAACAAAGTCAGGGTCTTGCCCTGTCACCAAGGCTGGAGTGCAATGCCATGATCTTAGTTCGCTGCAGCCTCGACCTCCCAGGCTCAAGCCATCCTTCCACCTCAGCCTCCCAGCAAGCACACACCATCAAGTCCAGCTAATTAAAAAAAATTTTTTTTTGTAGAGATGGAGTTCTGGTGTGTTGCCCAGACTGGTCTGAACTCCTGAGCTAAAGTGATCCACCCACCTTGCCTTCCCAAAGTGCTGGGATCACAGGTATGAGCTACTATGCTTGGCCCCCTTTCCCTGCCTTTTATTCTTTTTTTTTTTTGAGACGGGGTTTTGCTCTTGTTACCCAGGCTGGAGTGCAATGGCGCGATCTTGGCTCACCGCAACTTCCGCCTCCCGGGTTCAGGCAATTCTCCTGCCTCAGCCTCCTGAGTAGCTGGGATTATAGGCACGTGCCACCATGCCCAGCTGATTTTTTGTATTTTTAGTAGAGACGGGGTTTCACCATGTTGACCAGGATGGTCTCGATCTCTTGACCTCGTGATCCACCCGCCTCTGCCTCCCAAAGTGCTGGGATTACAGGCGTGAGCCACCGCGCCCGGCCCCTGCCTGTTATCTTTAAAGACAGGGTCTTGCTCTGTCAACAAGGCTAGAGTGGAGTGGCACAATCTTACCTCACTGAAATCTTTGTCTCCTGGGATCAAATGATCCTCCCACCTCACCCTCTGAAGTAGCTGGGACTCTAGTGTGCAGCATCATGCAATCTCTGTAACTTCATTATGATTTAGTAAATCATTATTTTGCAATTTCTAAATTTTTCTATATAAAGTAATGCATCACGTAGCTGGAATGTTTCGAAAAAAACATCTTTAGCAATTCCATTACTGTACAATCATACAGTGTACTTACACAAATCAAGATGATATTGCCTACTGTACACCTAGGCTACATGGTATAAGCCTACTGCTCCTAGGCAACCCACCTGTTCAGCATGCTACTGTACCGAATACCAAACACTGTAGGCAATAATAACAAAAGGTTAAGCATTCATGTACCTAAACATAAAAAAAGTACAGTGAAAATATGGTACTATAACCTTATGGGACCATAAGGTGGTCCATGCTGCCCTAAACATCATTATATCATTATGTG